TCCCTCCAGCCACAGCCCCCTGCCAGTGGCTGGGTAAGAGCCCGGCGGCCATTGGCTGCACGGTTGTGCAGTGCGCGATTGGCTCCGCCACGCTTTTGCAGCAAAATGTCATTTGCTGGGTGAATTTGGGTGACCGCAATAGGCCATCTGCAGAAGCACGTCCTGAGCTGCACACTGTCATTGGCTGTGCTCTGTGCAACACCCCGGACTGCTGCTGCCAGCCAGCTCCCGCTCTATCACCTTCAGCTGCGAAAGCGGATCAGAGCCTCCCATGCACAGCGACAGGCTCTCTGCTCCATTCCAGCATTTCCTGTGGAATGAGAAAATTGAGCTTTCTAACCAGATAAACAGTTTCCCTGCACCACGGCATCACGTTGTGCTGTACACAAACACACACATATCTGATATGCATGTATTTAACTCCGTAGATTATGTTGTGCATTTACTGCCAATTATCAGTTTCCTTTCCGTGCAGAAAAAAACGCACAGCAACAGAAGCTGCAATGCTTTCACACTCTGTCTTCAACCAGAGGACGGGACGGACTAACAATAAGCTGCATTATAAAAATAATAACTGAAAGAGCAGAGTAGGAAATACTAGAAACCCTGCTCTTCTCTTTACACTGCATTCTTATGTAAAAAGTGATCGCTGTGGTGTGGCAGTGGCATGACAACATCCTAACAAAGACATTATCCTACTGGAGGCTTTATCTAGCTCTCACAGCCTGCAAGCTCCTTCTCTCAAATCACTACAAAATATAAAAAGAGAAGGAATATTTGCACAAGCACATCTGGTACATTTATTTATTGACTAAATAAATGTTTCATAAAGGCTGCTTCCAATCAAAATCAACAAGCAGAAATAACATAAAATTTTAATAGCCGTGATTAATTATTCTGCCCTACTAATTCTGCTAATACAGTCATGATGCACATCATCAGGCTCTCTGGAGATCTTAGGTCTTAAAGGTAAAAGCTACATTCACACAAAACAATCTCCTAAATAGTGAGGTTTAGCATACAAGATCTTAGCCCATAATCAGTCCAGGATTTCAAGAATAAGACTGGTGGCAGTAAAATTAAGAGATTGATCATTGACAAGTTTAACCTGCTTTCTGACGCTCATTAAAAGGTAAGTGAAGTTCCTCTCTAGGTTTGCTTCACCTCCTGTTCATCCACAGACATGGAGCAGTGGAGCAGCAGTATGCTGACTGGAACAGAGTCTTCCTAAGAGAAAAACATAAACTAATCACTGGACAGTTTTCTGACACACAATCGTCTGCATTTTAGTTCTCTGCATTTTGGTTCTCTTCATTTCATGAGGAATATGAATCTGTATGAACATCCTCTTCTTGCCACTCAAAGCATGTACAATAATTATTAGTAACTAGGCACAAAAATATTTCTTTGTTAAATCTCTCATTAAATTTACAAGGTTTGTTTTGTTTATTTAAACTAAATAAATGCATGCATTTCATTTTCAAATACATCTAGGTCCAGATCAACAGATAATTAATCAGAAAACAACATCAATAAACAAAATTATTACTTAAATAAAATATTTAATTGAACCATATGTCAGCACCATCCAACTCCACCAGAAATACTTCCTTCTAGATTACAAACTACTTGTCATTTAAATGACAAAGATTACTTCCCAGAGCTTTGTTATCAACAGCTCAGATACTGTCTCACATACACACACCAAAGAAAGGTTACTAAATGAACAGGACCTGCAAGTTTTGCTTCATTCCCTCGGGAACGATGGTAACCCTAGACCTGCATCAAGTTTTACTTGACTCTAAGATTCAAAAAAGCTTTTCAAGGCTCTGCTGCTCCCCCAACTTTTCCACATCAGTTTAAACAACTTAAATACCTTCTGAGGTTACACTGGTGTTGGCAAAGTTATGTACCCATAAAAAAAGTGACATAACAATTACAGGGTCAAAGTCTTTATCATCAAGGTACTGACATACGAATCCATCATAGGAGACCTACACAAACTGCTATTCAAAGCAAACTGATCAGAACGTATTGTTTTGGGGAGACAGCAACCACATTGTGAGGAAGGCTCTCCCTTTTTCAAAAGAAACTGGGTTCCTGTGAGGACGCGGAATGAGAAGGGGCTCGGTGGTCTCTCCAAAGCATTCTTCAAGATGTTTGTGTGAACAAAGAGGAAAAGACATGGCATCCAGTCAAAACAGGAAAGAGACATCCTGAAAAAGGGCAGGGATCCCTGAGCTGCAGTAAATTGTAATATACACTTGGCTGTAATGTTCTGGACATACTCAGCATCGTTAGCAAAATGCAACACAGAGTATGATGAAGGGACACTGTAACTTTTCCATCAGAGAGCAAAGACACGGGAGGACAGGAGGGGACGCTTCATCACCACAGGGACCCTCCAGGGCAGCGAGAGGCCTCAGCAGCAGATAAAGGCCACTCGGGCAGTACTGTCTGGCTGCAGCAGTTGCCGCCTTGCAGGGGACTTCACAGCACCCTCAGGCTTTCATGCGCCTGAAGGAACTTTCCAGTTTCACCCCATGAAGTGTGGCAGCATCACCCCCTTTGAGGACGGGGCAGCACACCTCAGAAACCGAGCGGGACGTGTGGGCACGCCTGCTCTCCAGCAAATTAAATATTAATTAGTCAATTAAATATTACCAGCAGCTTAGCACCTTGCTAGGACCTTCTGAACAGCCTAAAGGCTACCGGAGCTCACCACAGAGCGCCCA